TACACTGATGACTCACAAAGTTTTCATTTGTAAATTGCTGTCATCTGTTAGAAATGGGGCCTTTTCCAGTCGAATAGGGACGTTATCTTTTTTGCATTTGCAGGGATTTTTCTTGTAATTGATGAAATATGCAATATCAGGCTTTCAAAATAGTTACGATGGATGAGGGCTGGGTGGGGGGGTAGGAAATTGTGGAGATCGAATGGTAGTTAAGGTTAAAACACTACAAAGTTAAACCCCTTGATACTTGACACAATAGGTGCATCGCAGAATCCAAGGACGTTATTTTGCCGCATAACTACCCTATCTACATGCGTGAAAAGACATGGGATTAATTTATCTTGTTCCATGCCATGTAACTCCCACAACTTCCAGTCCATCTTCAAGTTTATTGTGTTTATTTTTGATTAAAATAACTATCAGGGAAGCAGAATGGGAAGGTGTGGACAGGATTCATCTGGCTTCAGATATGGATTGGTAAAAGTTTCTTGTGAATGTGGTAATGAACCTTCAGGTTCCTAATTGAGCACACTATTATCAACGCTCAAGAAGGACACTGCTCCATGGAGTTAGGTCCAAATAAAAGACAAAATCGGTAAACCTTCCTTTTATCTCCAGTTTTGCAGAAATATAGGCTATGTAACAACCTTTCGCATAAACATTATTGTACAATAAACCTGTATATAACAAACTTTATACAACAAACAACATAATACTATAAAATATATTTTTGTAGTTATTACCTCACTATAAATAACTCCTATATAATGAATTCTAAAACTATGGGTTCCCATGACTTAACAGTATTTTCTGAATATGGGAAAGAGGAACAAAAAATTTGGAAATATAACCACTTCTATTACAAAAAGTGTAACATGTCAACACTAGCCAGTCTTAAATCCTGTAATACCACATGAGAGAGATGTAGGTATTTAACACATTCATATCCAGGCAGCCTGATGCTGTCTGCACTGGCTCTTCAATTTGCAGCAGTATACACCACAACTTTAAACATTGAGCACAATCTATGTGGCAGGTTTTTCTCAAACATTCTGTGCCCAACAAGTAACTTGGCTAGTGATGCTTGAGAGACTGTTATCTTGTGAAATACTCTGTATAGAGAAATGTTTCCCTCCTACCCCTGTAATGCTCAGAATAATGAAAATATCCATCTCTTTTAATTTCCTTTTTTGTCCTTTTTAATTTATTGGAATATTTGTCATGATACTCAAGATGTCAGGTGTACACACACCCATCTAGCAAGAAATAAATGAACTACAAGTTTCCAAATTTGGTGTGGCCCAAATGTCAAATTCTTACATTCCCTGTTTGCTAGATAAGAGCCTCAGAAATAGGGAACTGTCTTCCTGCCATGAATGTGTTAAGTAACTACTATAACAGAAGTCTGCATGAACCCAAATTTTGTAACTTTACAAACTCTGGCTCAATGAGCATATGGCCTGACCCAGCCAAGAGTCCAAGCTTTACCTTAATTGTTACCCATACCCAAACAGAAAAAACAACTTCACCCAAACTAACCTGCTTCTAACCCCTGCTGTACACTATGACAAATGCCCTAATCTTTCCAGGCACCAACCTGCCAATGTGCTTTGACTGATTACTTCATTTAACATCTGAGCTTATTTTAATATTAGTGGAATTTTAGAGCATACTGAAATCACTGCCCTTTCATTTTCAGTACTGGTATAGGTACTGAACCTTTATTAAAAGAGTATACACATTTCTGGCTGACAATGAAACAATGTCAGCCCCAGAAAGCTTAAAATGTTGTAACATAATCTTAACCAAACTCAAGCCTAAATATCAAGGGTCAAAGGATCTGGATCTATGCAGACCTCCATACTATATTAATTTGATGATAAGAAGTGTGAATATCATTCTTCTTCAGTTTATATTAAGAAGTTCTTGTGATAACTGACAAGCCAAATCTGGAAGAACCTGATGTGCTGTTGACTGGCTTATATTTCTGTTCACTTCTCAGTTTATTTAATAAAACATAATCAGCTGCATATATCATATGGTGTTCAATGACAGGATGATTACAAATTATGACTGCAGAAGTAAGCAGAAGTTGTGGCTTATTTTACAGTAGTATCCCAACACGTGTGTGATAAGAATGAGGAAAGCTATGAGGTATCTTAGCTAGGACAGCAGGTCTCCTAATAAAGATTTAGACTCAGAACTTAAACAAAATAAAAATTACATTTGACAAAATTTAGATAATTATGATGTAGTGTGCTACATTTCTCTTGCTTACGTATAATAATTCATAATTTATCATCACCAAATGTACAATATTTCATGTGGCTGCCATTGGATGGATGATACTAACGTAATTATGTACCTTAAAGAGAAGGTATGAAATTCGGTGCCTTTTACTGAAAACTGTTTTTTAGGACTTTTATATTTTCACAAGCAGAATTTTACAAGATTACCAAAACAAATAGCAGCTACCAGCAAAAAGTAAACACAGCTGCTATTGTAGAAGATAAGATTAAACAACATGACTTTCAAGTGACCTCAAGGGTCATATTCAAACAAAATTTCATGAAAACAGACCAGCTTGTTCAAATATTCAAAACATGTTCAGACACATATACACAACACACTTTATATCCCACAGAAAATTATTTTCCTTTTTGAAATCAAACTAATACCATGGTACAGCCGAAACATCATAATTAAACATAAAAGGATTTAGGGTATTTCATAATTTAGCAACTTCAATTCTTCAGATCAATACACAGGACTAAATAATTCTGTCTTAAAATTAACTGAAGAGTGTAAGTGTAAATGGGGCAAAGATAAAAAAATGTAATTTTTCTTTATATAATCTAATTTAGCAATTACTGCCAGATTCCAATGAGGCAGGATATTTTTCCATACTGTTACAGATTTAATTTAGAATTTAGAACACTATATGCCTGCTGACTGAAAACATGAATACGGACTAGAGAAGACAGGTAGTCAACAGGCATGAAATTTCTATAGAGTGTTAACCAGAAGAACACAGGGTAAAACAGAAGCCCAGACATTACACAATATCTGATATTAGAAATACTATAATAACATTCGGTAAAATGAAGACTAAGTAGTATGGACACATCTTGCACAGGCAACAATGTTTCCTTTAAAGCATCAGAAATGTAGGTGTGGGAAGACATAAAAAAGTAGACACAAAGAGCAGCACTTACAGGAGGATACTCATTTCACAAACCACAGACATTTACATACAAAACTAAAGTGAATTTATTCATGTACAGAAACAAATCACAAGATGATGGGCATAACTAATTGAACTATTTGCCTTTTTTCACAGTAACTTGTTAACTCTCTGATTGTAGAACACTGCAATACCACAGCCTACTACTGGGTACAAACCTGAGCCAGCTTCATCCATGTCTCATCCTCACAGCCTACTTCCATAAAGAACCATCTTAATGTTATCATCCCTTCCCCTCCACAACCTTACAAAAGGATATTTTCCAATATGTTTCTCCATCAAAATTCTCCATGTATTTTTTGTCTCTCCCAGCCTTCCTACAAGCTCAGATCATCAGACTCATCTGCTATTTCCACATAAGCTTGTGAAAAGTGAGAGGCATCAAAAATCTCCAATATTTAACAGTCATAAACAGAATTACATAATAATAAATTACAAAGTGTACTGCCATCTTACTTCAATTCTGGTTTTCTCTCCTGATGCACAACATAATACTGTATACTGTAATTTCATTTCATATATCTTAAAAATGCTACAACATGCATAATGATTTAACTTTTAACATACAATGTTTAAAATACTTTAACATTAATAAATTTTCCTTGTGAGTTCAGGAATGATTTAAAGAGAAATATAAATCCTTAATCCCTTTACTGTCACAGAACTCTCAATATAAAAATCTTGTTTATACTGTTTATTGGAGTTCCTGTGACTGATTTTGGCAACTGCATCTTTATACAGTGAAATCTCCTCGCATTTCTCTGGGTGACGATGATTTGAACATTAAACTGAGGAAAACCTTACATGGAAGGAATTTAATTTTGAGATAAGAGGGGTAAGTAAGATCAATGAAGAGATGAGCCTATTAGCCATATAAATAATGCCCAAAGTGAGTATAAACATACTATCCCAACTTCTTTAGCATACATAATAAATTTTCACCATAAAAACGTGTTTTTCCAGCCCCATCTAGCATCTCTTCTACCCCTTGCACAGCTAGTCACCATCATTATAATGTGCTTTTTGTTGCATGCTGTTGGTATTAGCTAATTTTGTAAGTTCATCATCTTCAAGGCTTAGGCCCACAGGCCTGTCCCAATGCCATCTTTATGTGGAGTGATTATCCAATTTTTAAGTTTTATATCAAAATACCTATCTGTCCAACACAGTTCCCAATCCCTCTTTTCAGTATACTATCTTCTTCTTCTTCTTCTATGGCTCTCCGGTCTGTATTCAGTCCAAGGCTTTGATTGAGGTTTTCTCGAAACATCTTCCTTTTTACGGTGAAAGGTTGCTAGTGACCAACCCCCAACTCGAAGGACCAGGGTACCTGTCTTAGTCTGACCTCTCCCCCTCGACCAATCTGGCCAGGGAGGCCCTACCAGTAGCTATGCTACCGCCAGCACAGCTCTTGGGGCCACTGAGGTACTCAAGCCCCACCACCACAGCATACTACGAGTTTGTTTAAATTAGTATCAAACTCTAAATTTTAGAAAAATGCGTAATATATGTATAACTCTCTGGACTATTATATAAACATGTATTATCTCTGGCCAGCATACATCTAATTACTGGCTTAAAATTTCTCTTCGCCACTGTTTTTGTGGGTGGGGGTAGGGGGGGTAGGATATGAGATTTTCATGGTGGTTAGAGTTTAGATTGCAGTCTTCAGAGCTGTGCTGTGTAGTAATGGATTTTTTATTGCTAACGACGTCTGATGAACACATCCATTTTCTAGAATAAGCCATTTGTTTACTAACGTGACCAAATTTAAAAGTAAGATAACTGGGGACAGATTTAGATTAAATCACAGAAAACCTTAAATCAAGAAACATTAAAAAGAGATTTCACTGTATTTTATATAACTCACTCACGAACTCATTGAAGTTATAAGCGTAGTGTCTTTAGAGTCCTTTTCATGTATTAAAATCTTACAAGTAAAGCTGAGAATCACAATTAATATCTTCACACTTAACTGCAAATGTAAAGTTAAGGTTTCAGTGCTTACTTTACATAAACTGCAGTGACAAATACTGTCCAATAAGAATTTACAATTCACAAGAAGTCCAACAAAGGGAAATACTGTCAGAAGCATTTTTATGCGTAACATACGTCAGTGGAAGAGGCTGTCAAATTCCTGAAGGAGGTACTCAATTACAAGATTCTGCTGCATTAGGTCCAGGGCCATGTTGAGGGACTCTGCTTCAGGCCACATAAGCGTCGGGCCAAAGACAATGGCGAGGTTTGGAATGTGCATGCGATTAAATTCTTTATATGCGGTCACCCTGCAACAGAAAACAATTAAAAATATGACTTACAGGCTGATATATATAAACATTTTTACCAGCTATGTATGGTTATGAAACATAGTCTCTTACTTTGAAGGAAAAAAACTAAGTTTAAAAACAAGATTTCAGGAAAATATTTGTATGTAAGAGGGATGAAGTGAGTGGACAGGCAATTTAGGATACTGCAAAACCTAGTACTGTCACACTACTGAAACCAGGGTGGTTATGATAGGCTGAACATGTAGAACAGAAACAAACACAGACATGCACACAGAACACCGAAAAGCTCCCTCTTAGACAACAGAGAATATGGGAAGATAATATTAAAATTGATCTCACTGAAATGGTATCTGAGGATGGGAAATGAATGGATGGAACACACTCAGAAGTACATCCAATGTTGGGCTTTGATATTAAAACCTCAAAATAAACACTTAATTTAAAATTTAAGCCAATACACAAGAAACTATAGGAGATGGGAGGACTGCAGTACTGGTATAAGAGGAAAGAGAAGGTAAAACAGGAGACAGATAAGAAAAATGGGGTGATAAAACAGGGAAAATTATTTATGTATATTGAAATTCAATTATAACATCTTCACATACAGATCACGCCTGAGAAAAACCTGTAATAAAGAGCCAGATAAGCTGGCAGATAACAGCCAGTTGTAATACAACGTTGAACTGTCATGTGGTGAGAATTCTAAATTAACAAAAATTAGTCAGCCTCTTTTATTGGTGCTTTGTGCAAGCTCTCACAAGCACACCTAATTTGCCAAGTTGCACTGTCGAGATGCGTGATGTTGGACTTATGACAGTAAAACATGTTAGTGAGAAGAAATTTGACAGGATATAATACATAATATAACTAATGTGATGACAGTAAAAAGGATGTGTACTGATAATTTTTAACATAATTGGTTGCAGAATATTCTTAGAACTACAAATTCATATTCTTATAACTCTATCTGTGCCTGCAACAAACTGTTTCTCACCTGCCAAATTTTAAACTTTAATTACAGCAGAACATATAAAATTTCAGAAATTAAAAATTGCCTGTGATCTTCAAACAAACAAACGACAGCAACTGACCTTAGCAAATGCCTAAACAAGAACTCAAGGGTATCTCGATTTTGAAGAGGGAGTGCCTTCACAATCTCCTTGAAATGTTGTAGTTTCTCCTTCTTGCTGGGATTCGCTGCAAAACATATACTGAGGTAAGAATGTGACATTTTATTGGAAACTTTATGAATATGATAACAGATTTCCCAACATCAAACAATGGTTAATAGAAGAGAACTTAAATAAGTAAAATTACATAAATATGGCATTTGATATACATAAATGATTTCTCCCTTTATTTCAGTAAATTCTACCCAAAATTAAAAATATTTCAAATAAAGTTGTAGATCTGAATGTGATTTATGTATTCTGTTATACACAATCTTTGACTGAATCAACCACTTTTAACAGAAATGATATAATTTTGGTTTTAGTTTAATGTGAAGTAGGAGTTTGATTTGACCGATACAGACAAAAATAAAATTCACCTGATGACATTTACTGCAAATCTTTCAATACCAAATTTCATATAAACCTATCAAACAACTTCAGAAACAACACATGCAGCCATGACCTACCCACAATGTGTTCCTTTATGCACTTTGTATAAACAACACAGAATAGTACCAAAATAAGATTGTCCCAGTGCCTAAGAAGCAAGATGTTAAGTCTATAGGGGTACGCTCTTTGGTCATTGGTAAAAGACAGAGGTGAATGATCAGCTTCAAGCTTTGGTCTTCTGGGTTGTGATGCTGCATATTCTTGTAGGTTATCATCAACATTTCAGAGGATCATTCCTAACCACTTACAAGACTACAAGACATCACAACCAAGAAGACCACAATCAACATCTCCACTGTCATGAAAACCTAAAATCTAAGAGCTTCAAGATCTGGCTGCTTTACTCCCAGATACTGAGCATTTGGTATCCACTAGACAGGAGGGGGGAGAGGGGTGCTACAGAAGCACTCAATGGGTGTGGCAGCAAAACAGGAAAATCCTTGTCCATGATGGGTATCAATCAAGACAAAGTAATTCAAAATCTGAAATACTGGGACTAAACTTGTAATGCAAAAAAATGTACTTACTGCTTGCCCTCAGTGCCTTACTAAAATGCTCAAATGGAATGAGAGGTTTCTTCAACTCTCGGAAAAAGAGCTTAAGAGCGCCTGTAAGCACGTGCACATCTTCTTCTTGATCCAAGACATCTAAGTTGTTCTGATCTACCTGTAAGATAAAAAGAGTACATCTAAGTGCCTACCAGTCTGTTCCATTACTGATACACAGTCACAATGCCTTGAAGACCACCTGTGATTCTTCTGACACAAACTCCGTAAGACTTGGGACTGCAACTATCTCAAATAACATTCCTGGACTGAAGGGGATATAGCTGACTTCTGCATTAGTCAACGGCAAGTTTGTATTTTATGCTCACAGAAGACCATCCCCATTCCCTCTCTTGTGCCCAGAAATAACACACTGTCTCAGTTTATACATATAAGTATAACGTTCACATCTCTCACATACCTATTTTGGGTCACTGTACAGTTTATGTTTGATTTACCTAAGCTTAAGTGTGAATTGGTATTTCTTGTTGATTCTTGGTTTATTTAAAACATGTTTCAAATAAGTGTGATATGAGGTTCTCACATGGAATGTTGTAGCGTGTTCATTTACATTTCATAGGTGCTTACTGACTGATTGCCCTAAAGATGGAGGCAGTAAGCACCTCTGAAACAACAATAAACTTCTACCAAACTACAAGGTGCAACAAACCAGAAGACAGCCATCTTCATGTCTCATGTAATTATGAAGGTGTAAATGATTATGGAGGAAGTCTGAAGATATCCCAGCACTAAACTATAGAGAATGGGAAAATCTTAGTAGGGACAACATATTTCCGAGCTGAGATTCACGCATGGAACCTTCTGAATATGAAGCAGTGCAAACGAATGGTGGGAAACATTTAGTTTACAGTACCTGCAGTCTGATCTTCTGAACCTGGGACAGATTGCCAGAAGCACGATACAGCCCATCGGTCTTCATGTTCTCTTCCTTGCACTCAATGGCAGCAATACAGCGGCGGACAAAGACAGGCACTCTAGGAGACTCTCCTTTACACACATCTTGCAGATTACGCCCAAAGACAGGTTCATCTGGTGGGGGGAGAAAAAATTAAGAATGGAAACTGATGTACTCAGTCTGAAGGTTTGAAAATGTGTTCTTTGCAATTTTCCATCACTCACACATTTACAGTTTGTTTCTTAGTTTCTTTAACAAAGTTTTCTCAACTATATACTTTATTTAGCAGCTAATGACAGGATTAGGGTAAATAATGAAGTGGGAAGAATGTGAAAAAAAGAGCTGATCTAAATTCATAAGATTCCTTTTTGGGGGATAGTGCTTAAGTACACAGATAGCTTAACCATTAAATAGCAACAAAATATTGTTTACAGCATTACAATTCATGATCTAGACCACTTACAGGAAATAATTATTGCAGCCATTGGAATTGTTATTTCATTCACTGAGCCAAGTGTGGACAGACTGCAAATATTGCCTGGATGCATTCTCAATGACAAATGACACTAACATTAAAGTCTACAGAAAATTTAAATAAATCATTACATGAAATGTTACATTTTAAAATATGAGCACCCTTTTTCAGTGACCCCATACTTAAAAAGGTACCACTCATGATGTATCAGAAAACACAAATATAATGTCTTTAATGCAGAAATACAACAGCAGCCAGATACTAAATTACCTTTATAAATGCCTTTCTTGACAAGACTCTCTTTAGTTGGCCTACGATGGAAGAACTTTTTGAGTCGATTGCGGATCTTGGTTTGATTCTCCTCAGAACCTGCAGTTAAGTCTTCTTGGCTCTCATCTTTTGAAGTTAATTTCACTGTTAGAACAAAACAAACTTCTCAATTCTGTAGCAATACTCAGCATCAAAGATGATAATAATAAACAAAAAGAAACAAAGATTATAATATTTTTCATCTGAAAAAGTAAAAAGTGAGGTTTTTCTTGTGCATGGTAGTAAAGTTACACACATCCATCTCAGTACTTTGTGTCAGTAAGTTTCATGGCCTGGTCATTTTAAAGACCAGACATAATCAGTGTGTTTGGAATACCCTCTTCTGGTCTCCCATTAGGTATTTTTGCCATATTTTCTTAGGATATGTTCCATCCTCCATCCTCCACCCTCTATATATGTACAGACCATCCAAGCTCTGAATTGTTTCTTTTAATGGTTTAAAATCTGTAGTTTGCTTTTTAATTTTACCTTTTCTAGTCTATTTTCTGAGATTCTTAATATCTCATTTCTATTGATTGCAACTGGCTTAGATGTTTAGTTGTTAATGGCTCGTCTTTGTTACTACTGAAACTGTGCAAGAAACAGTAAATGCAAGTCAGGATTTACCCATAAGATGCATACACACTTGTATATGCTATTTGTATTCACAAACATTAACATGAGTTATCACACATTATGTCTTCTTTTTGTCTCTTGCTCTCAAGAATTGTATCCCTTACAATTTTAATTCTGGACTTCCTATGTTCAATGTTATTTATGCTAAAATTCATACAAAATTAGATTTATCAGAAGATAATGTTCACACAGACAAATCTTTAACTAAAATTAACATACCAGCAGGACTGACATCATATGATCCAGAAACCCATATTTTCTTCATAAGCAGCATATGATGTGCACAAAATTACCCCCTTCTTTTATACATTCCCCGAACACGAAGCTTCAATGCAATTATTCATGTAGGCAACGCAGGAAACACTTTCAGCAGAAGACGCAGTCAACATCAGTACTTGAATGTTTGCTTGCCTGATTAGATATCAATGCTTATCTTCCTGTACTATGCACAATTTTCACACAAGGTAGATCAAATGTATATGTTTCTGGGAAATTATATACAAATTCAATGATTCGTTTGTAACATTTCTAAGAAACAAATAACAACACACAAGAAAAAATAATTCCCTTTAAATACAAAAACTGAAAGTGAAAAACCGATACAAATTTTCAAAATACTGTATTGCATCTATAATAACTATATGATTAATGAAACTGGGGATAGTGTAGGCATAACATATAGTATGCATGAAGAAAAGAAATTCATACATTATTTTGGTTGGCAAACCTCAAGGAAAAAAAATAAGTCTGGAAACTTGACAAAGATGGAGTGAAACTATTAAAATTAATCTAAAAAAGAGGTTTTAAAATGGAATGAGCTGGCTCAAGATAAGATCCAATGGCAGATGTTAGTAAACAAGGTGATGAGCCCTTGCAGTCCTTAATTAGAAGCAGGGAATTTATGACCAGTTAAGAAACTGTTATGTGCTATATCATGGGCTAGTTCAACAAACTGTTTTTCAACTGCAATGGTTACATAGCACTAAATGGAAGAATGAGTGCAAATGATGAATTTGAAAGGTACTATCTCAGACTGGTAGACATCCTTTTCCTGAAACTAAATCTTTTTGTGTGTGAATAAGAAAGAGCAAGGAAGGGTCTGAGGAAGAGATGGAGAGAAAAATATCACATTAATTATACATATTGCAAATTGAAGCTGCTTACACACTTACTTTTCATTGATCTTGAACGTCCAATGACAGATGATTTTTTTATTTCCTCAGGCGATCCTGAACTAATGTGTACAGGATTCAGTTTTGATGCTTTATTCCTTGGACTCACATCATATGCATAGGGCTACAATCAAAATGAAAGTTTTCGCATCATTATTTCCTATGTCTTCTACAACCATATGAAACAATTAATTAAAATATTAAGTATAATTTTATATGCTGTGTTATGTAAGAGGTGCATTTCAAAAGTTTGTAAGTATGTAAAAGTAAAGTAAAGTTTGTCCCACTATACGCCATGTAGGCGTTTGGGGTGAGAGGAGGTATAGCTCCTCTCTTCCTTGACCTCGGCACTAGATGGGGGTGAGTGGTCAGCATCACGCCCCGGCCGGCTTTACCCCCGGGAAAGGACCCCGGTACCCATTGTAGAGGAGGCTGGGTGGGCCCCAGAGCCGGTCTGGACGCAGAGGCTAGAGGAAAAATCCTGCCCCCATCGGGGATCGAACCCCGGTCGTCCAGCCCGTAGCTAGTCACTATACTGACTGAGCTATACTACAAAATATGTGGTACAGAAAAAACAGAGCACAAATGTTGTACACTTTCCAAAAATGTTTTTTCCTCCAGTATGATCTGGAGCATTCATAGCAAATCTCAGGCTACATGCTGTATCAGGTGTTTTTTTCCTCTCCCTCTATCTATATTTTCTACCTGTTTATCAACATTTGTAAATATTCAACTCTTCTTCAGTGTCCATTTTCCATACCACTAAACTGCTGTTCCTAGTGCGGTTCTATACCGATTGATATTGTATCACTCAAAGTAAATTTTTCACTTCTGAAAAAAACCAGAAGTTAGCTGAGTGAAGTGACTGGAATGAAAGATTCACTTAAAATAACCAAACAGCAGCTAACCAAGTGTGCTGGGAGCACAACTTTTACGACAAAGTATATTGTTCCCCTTCTTCTGCAAAAAAAACAGCATATAAGCATCAGCCTGAACAGATGTGTAACATTACAGAACCTGCTAAACTAGTTCATTAGTTTATTGGCAGAGACAGGGTGAAGACGTACTTTAATCTGACCAGCAGGAAGAATGCTCAAACAAAACTGGTACTGAGGTAGCAGATGCCAGATGTAAGGATAAGCTGCAAATGGTTCTCTGGTCTTTTAATAACATTCAGCACTGTTTCCACTCACCAGATCTTTGATGGCTTTAAAGATGGCCTTGTACCATTCTTCTTCCTGTTGAGCATTCTCACACTGCAACAGCACTTGTAGACCAAGTACCGTTGTCAGAAGGAACACATTGCGTCGACTTGATACCTTTTCTCCGTGCTCCAGTAATGCACCATTCAGATCTATAGAGAACTCAGGCTGTGCTGCTCCAGAAGCATTTTCTTCGTTTGAATTTTTCTGTCCAAATAAAAAAAAATATATGGAACTTAAAATGTGCACTTGCTTCTAGGTGCAATGTTAAAACACTCTCCTGATATTCTAATTTTATTTCATGAACAATTGAATCTAAGAAACTGTACAAAATATCATAAACATAACTAAATAGCTAACTCTTGCAATGACAAACTCTAAAGATTCCCAATGCACAAAATAAGTAACTGAATTTTTGTAGAATTGATCTGATTTGTGATGTTAATCCATTGAAGCCCAGTGGTACCACTAGTTTAACATTCAATAACTCTGCATTCTGACCATGGAATGTATCCATGGTTACCTTACAATTCTTACAGTATAAAGATTGATTATTTCCCTAAACTCAATGACTAAATGATCTCTGTAATGGAGGCAAATTGTGTTTTCTTTTAAGTACAGACTGGATTTTTAAATAACACCATACATACCATTGCTTCAAATGTTTTAGCATCTTTAAAGAAAAGCAGAAAGAGTTCTGTGAGAACAACATGTGCCGGTGCCCAGTTCTTGCGCAACTTTTTGCCATTCTCAGTTATTTTTGTGCGATTTAATGTTCCCTCCTTAAGCACACACTGGAAAAAACCACACCAGATGTAACAGTTACACTTCATTGATTCAGTTTGCGAGAGATAGTTTGTGACACGAATGCATCCCACGATGAACATTATTAAAGTATGAAAAATCTTAAGGAGACATCCGTTTACATCCCATATGCAGATCTCTCTCTCTCTAACTAAAAGAACAGAACATGGTTTTACATAAGACAATCACTCACCATGTTACCATCCCATAACTGTGGCCAGTTCCTTGGGAATGATGATGATTTGCTGGAAGTCTGCTTCTTTCTGCTGCAAAAAATGAAATCAGTATGTTAGGTTAGCAAAATTAACCATCTGATTTCTAAGTATGTGTGCTCCATACTCACACCTGTATGCCGAGTTTAAAGAGATCACAAAGACGTATTACGATAAGAAAATTATTACAATTTTACTTCATCTGAATATGATTCTGTATATGTTAAAAGAATTTCAGCAATTACCTTGAGACATTTGCATTGAAGTCCAAAGATAATCTATAACATACAGTTCACAATTTAAATGATACTTCCCCAAAGAAAAAAAAGTAATGGCACCCAGATCAAAGTGTAAGCAAAATCTCAGTTTAAACAACAAAGCGACCAACTGACAGAGTTATTTAACGATGCCTTTTGGCTGCAAAAATTATAAACCACTTAATATTATTTGAAGCTTTCATGGTGACTGAATGTAATGAAATCTTCTCAGACAATCTGTTAATAAACTCATACAAAGCTTACTTCCCAAGAAAGCTTCTTTATATAGTACTGAATGTGCATTAAATATGCTGTCCCTGCACAGAAACAGAACAGGGTATATAACACACATATATGCTACAGCTATAAGAAAACTTTGTGAGTTCACCTGGAATTTGCCAAGACCATGGAATGAGCTTTGGTCATACGTTGCTGGGCCCTAATTTCAGGCTGACAGACCTGCTGTCCTGAACGCAGATGAACGTCTGTATCATGGCAATGTTCATCTTTCTTTGTCTGTCTTTCCAATTCACTTGGGTTTCGACTGGCTGAATGTGCAGGATTCTTAAAAAGAAGAAGAAACAAATCTTAATTAATGTCAGAATATTCTAAATTAACCTAGTTTTAATTGTATATTGGCCTCTCAACCTATAAAATGCCTTAACATGTTATTTATAAATTTCAAAAAATTAACAATAAACATTAATGACATTTATTAAGTACTTTTTGTATTAAACTTTACATTTTGAAATTTGATGTAATTTAAATTTACTGACACACTGTTTATTCAGAAATAAAGTTAATTTAGCATTTCTGTTTACACTTCATCTTTCAGTAGCCCCTGGAAAAAGATTCAGCAACAGCTCACAAACTGGGAAACAGCCATCTAAGTAAACAGTATTTATGAAAAATTCTCTCTCCTAACAACAACTCTTATAAATTCACTTTGTAGTTCAGAGATAAAACATGCGGGCAGGCAGACTTCCCTTTAATTGTTCATTTTATGCATTATTTGCAAGAAACATATAAAACAGAAATAGAACAACAGTATATACCGTGGGGGATAATCCATTCCTTCAGTGGTACTTACATCAGATCCAGCATTGCCAAAGTCTGGTAAAGTCCATGAAGACTGATTACTGTTTTCTTCAAAAAAGTACACCTTTCCTTCTGCATCATTCGATGAAAACCACTGAAACAAATTACAATCTATATATAAACAACTACATAAAACACAGTGTGTACGATATGAACACTATAATAAACACCATCAGTTGTCTGAGGTACATTTAACATACATAATGATTCAGGCGTTGGCTCTACTCCTGTCTTCAGTTGATTCACCTGAAAACAGGAGTACACACAACTCCCAAAATGTTGTATAATAAAATATAATTCAGACAATGTGCTATGTCCAATATAGTGTTCCCATAGTGAATCAACCAGTCACAAACCTTCAGAGAATCAACAGAGCACATAACTGCTAGCTTATCTTTTTTTTAGAATGTGCAGATTTAAAAATAATGTAATGAAAAACAAATCAACATTACAGAATAGACGCAGGCATTATACGATGTTTAGAATGGAAGAAAACAACATAAAAAAGGATCACAATAACAATGACATCACTCTGATGATGGAGGCGGTAAGCATCTCTAAAATGTTGGACAGTCTCTACCAATCTACATGGCACAAAATCAATGAAGAAATTCATCTTCATATCTGCTGCCATGAGAACCTGAAATCTCAAGAAATTCTACAGGGTTCAAGCAAGCATTTTCCGGTAATGACATAAAATGAGTACCAATGATAATGTTGAAGATTTGTCTTCTGGGTTATTGCGCTGTGTAGTCTAATTCGGTGATGAACCTTCGGGTTCGGTAAGCCATCTAGTTAGTTAGTTAGTTAGTCTGGTCAATGTTAACCAACGTTTCAGAGACCATACAGTATGACCTCTGAAACGTTGGTTAACATCGACCAGACTACACAGCGCAACAACCCAGAAGACAGAAATCTTCATACTCACAACTGTGAAAACCTAAAATCTTATAATGTTAATGTTTTAATTACCTGATGAAAACATCTAATTGTCCTTAGACTGAAACCTTATGGCAGGTGAGTGACAGCCTGTTGTATAAAGAGAGCTACAAAGTTATAATGTTGGGAGATCTTCCATTTGAACTCAAATGTTGGGCAAATGCAATGCTAAAAATTCAACACTGGTCAGATCAGACTGTGGCAAACCTTGTACATTCAGCCTCCCCGGCATTATTTCACTGACAGGGAAAAGGGTCAGACTAACTCAGTTCATAGAACTGAGTGTGTACCTTTTCTGGCTGCAACATACACTCTGCATCCCACTCATCATCCAGGTAACAGAGGCCAGAATGCTGGAGTTCCTGCTTCCATGCTGTAATGTCACTTGATGTGCTACCTTTTCGGTTTTGCAACAGAATACCACTTTCATCACAAGAAGCTTCCACAGTCTCTACGTCACTCTGCATTCTGGCATCACAAGACGATGAAACAATCTGTACTTCTTCTTGTGAAGGAGGAAATTCTACTGAGGAAATGGGTCGAGTCTGTGTTAAAACAATGTTGAGAAATCCCCTACAATCACCACCAAGTTTTCCAATCACACTGTCAGCAGGTAAAAGAGATTCTGAACCTTTGCCACTGACTGATGGATTCGAACGATCGTCTGACACAGCAGTCACATTCAAGGAGTCACAATCAGAAACACATTGATGTGTTTGATACTCCTGATGGCACAAATTTCTGTCTTCAGAATGAGAAGTCACTTTGACACTTCTCTTCTCCTTGGTTCTTTCTGTAACTCGCTTCATTATTAAGAGCTCTTGACAGTCCAGCAAACTGTTCTCACAACCAGCATCCCTAACCGACAGCTTTGTTACATTTAACTCGCTTGCACTCTTATCACTGGTATCACAGTGCAGTGCAGTAGCAGAATCTTTAGTTTCGTTGATAATTATGCCTTCGTTAACATGAAATGTTTTGGATTTTTCCTTCCTTCTTTTTGTCCGAGCAGGAGGCACAGGAGGTTTAGTGCCATCATCAAATATAGAATTAATGTCCAAACTATTATGCCTATGTACTTCTTGGGGTAATGGATGCATCACATTATGTTCCTCAGAAGAGGGGCAACTGATGAACACATCATCTGACAGATCAGAACTCAATGTAATGCTCCGAGCCTTCTTTACTTTTGTGTTTACCTGGGCTGAACACTTCTGACTGGTCTCTTCTGCCAGATTTTGTGCTTCTTGACACAGTTTCTGGAAGTCAACATCAGACACCATTTCATGATCAACTGCTACATCACCAGCTGCAACCTCCAGGTTCTGAACGATGAGTTCCAAGTGATGCAACACTTCGTCACATTTTTCACTATACGGCAATGTCACTGAATCACCAGCTCTAAAATATTGTGATATGGAATTCTGAAGCTGCAGTGTGGGATTGCAGTCTACTTCTTTATCACAGACAGTCACACTGCTACTGATGCTTGAAACAAGCTTGTCATGAATATCAGACGGCACAGTTCGATGATGTTCAAGATTCTGTACTATATTCTGTTCATAAATCTCACACTCTGTTGTGCTTGCAAGACTAGAATTTGTTTGGTTAACACAGCTGTCTATCAGATGTCTGTCTGCATCGAGATCTAAACCACACTGACATGTTTCCATACATGCTTCTTCTTTGAATGAATCACACTCACAGTTAACCCTCAAAGAAAAACTGTCAATGAATTTGTCTTGTCCACACACAGAACAACCAGTTTTTAACATACAGGCCACTCCATGCTCTTGAGTTACATCTGCAAAAACAGGTTCGTCTATCTGGGAGGAACTCAATCCAAATTCTTCTCCAGGACCTACATGTATACTGTCATCCAACTGGTCCAATGTGCTGTGACACAATTTCCTAAATCCCCTCTCATTCCTTCCTACTCCCACTCTACAATAGAGTGGATTTTTCTCCCACAGGATGCTGTCACATGCGAGTGCCTGATTACGGATGGGCAATTCACCTACTTGATACTGATTTATTGCCTGAATATCTCCTTGTGTGCTGCTTTCATCTGTGACCACTAATCCATTTCCTTGTGCTACACAACTGTAAATCTTTGAACCTAATACATCATCACAATCACATTTGTGACTATGAACATTACTTTCTTCCTTCTGATGCAACCTTGGATTATCTTCTCTTGGGGTAAAATTATTAGGGCATTCACAACAGCAAATCAAGGCTTCTTCTTCAACCTTCTTGTAATTCTCAATACAAACTTCCTCCTTCGAAATCAGCAACCCTGTAATTTCTTCTTTTGAGTTGGAATTTTCTGTGAATTCATTATTGCATTTCCAGGTTCCTTCATCCTTCTGAATTAGCAACTCTGGGACAAAATCTCCATGACGTTCCTGCCCATCTGAATAGTTCTGGATTTCCTCCTCCTTGCTATGAATCTTAACACAATGTTCTTCTTTCTGAGTCAGTAAGTTTGGAATGTCTTCCTTTGGAACATAAACTTCTGCAGTATTGTGATAATCCAGTGCCACGTCACAGTTCTGAATTACTTCTTCGTCACTTTTCTTGAGACCGAAATGCTGAAATTCCTCTCCGTGTAACTCGTGCTTGCTGTAATCTGCTTCGCCGTCACAATCAACATTCACCTTCACATTACACGAAACATCATTACAATCACTGAAATGTCGCAGTTCAAATAACCACAAGGCAACATCAGTAGGGACAGGTTCGCTAGGGATGGGCAGAGATACAGGAAGCCACATGCAGTTACGTTCTTGCAGGTGTTCCCTGAACGCAACGCTACTAAGCGTCAACCGATGGTGCGAGTCTTGCATTCTGTTAAAATCTTGCTTCTTATCTCTCGATGAAAAAACAACATGCCACAAGCATCCTGTCGAAGTGTTCCTGTCCACTATCCACCCATTTCCTTACACAGCAACGGCCGGATATTTAAACACAAAATTATGCACCATATACTGTCTCACTGCTCAACACACCTCCTCTGTGCCCGTTGAAACTATATACACAACGCAATAAAGATCAATTCTGAAAGATAATAAACTGCAAAAAGGTTATTTTACACCGCCGTTCGAATAATTCCTTAGATGTCTGACGCCTAAGACGAGAGACGATGAATCCTACCACTGTTGACCACGGACTTGAAATGAGAGTAAGAAACAAACAGGAAACGCGGTAGCCCTTCCCCTTATGTGAATCACAATTTAAACATGTGGTGTCAGTCAGATCACACACACACACAATCACTAAACGCAATGTATGTTTTAAATTGGTACAGCTCACTCTAATTCGACCGCACCTTCAACATATCACACGCACCACCATTCCTGCCGACAACTTACTAGAATTCCAAAACAGAAAAGCTGCTACCCAGAACACTTACTGCAATAGTTATAAGGAGACTGTTACTGAATCGTTTAATAACGGTACAAAAACTGACGTTTAATATTAAAACACATCTTAGAGCGTCATTACTTTACAATTCCATCCTTCTTATTGTCTTCCTGTAACAACGAACGGTCACCGTCAGTGCAACTGCTTGCTTCTGACAGCTGCACAGGCCTGTACTGAGTAATTCCGTGCTTTATTTCCTCTCAGTGGACGACAAATTACGTGTCAGTACAGGCTGTTCTGCTTTAAGTGGATGCAATGATTAAGCGCTCTTAACTGCTGTACATTTTTACAGAGACCAAACAATTATGTTCAATTCGCTCGCATATAGTCTATGAGTGTTCCGGGGCTGAAATTTCAATGGTAGGTTGGTTAGCTGTTCTTTTGTTTTAAGCTCCAAGGTGAGGGGAAAATGCCTTTGGACCCTTCCATGTATGTCTGTCTGTCTACTTGTTTACTTCGATTCTTCTAGAAGTAGGCAACCTACATTGCTGCAAAATAATGGAGACCCTTGGGTCCTAGTGTTGCTTCTTTACTTAACGACGCTTTCAGTAATTTAGACTATGTAACGTCGAATGATAGGATGGTTGATGAATAAACAACTGAAAAAGATATGGAAATGACCTAATTTACGGTGCTATCCTCGCGGCTGCCTGAAGAGGCTGACGAAAAGCACAAAAAATCAGGGCTGAGATTTGAAGCCGGAGCCTTCCGAATACGAAGCAGGAGCTATATCTCCACTCACACATGTACTTTGTTTCTCACCTGGGACGACTTCGCCTTTTTCAATTCAAAATCATGGGGATAATAGAATTTCCAGAATAAACATATAAAAATTAGAAGGGCTCATAGGAGGGAATGTTGCTTCACAATGAAAAACAATAAATGTGAAATCTTTCTTGCATCACGTCTACAAAATTTCCTTCGAATTGTAAATTACAGAATTGAACACCGAACCCAAAAACATTAAAGTGTACGAATTAAAATACAAGCTGAAGGAAGTCTCCAACTCGGCCGTCTGCTAGTCACATCTGCAGCAATGAAGTCAATTACTTGGAGGTCAACAGGGCAAACTGGTGCCATGCTGCTTCGCTTTACAACACGAATACAGTACAGGGCATTGTATGTGACGGCGACGAGCTCATGAATATCATCACACTGTCAAGAGCAAGACAGGATGACGAAGAGCGGAAACAGAATTCCTTTCACTGCCGCAAGCTATTGGTTTTCCCAACATAAATGCACACTATTCTCTACGACAGAAAAATGTTCCTCTTCCGCAACAGAAGACGTTTGCGATGAGTATAAATCTGCATACATTCTATGGACTTCGGCATGAGACGGGTGAGTGGTTAGCTTTATATTCCAGCCGCTTTGTCCTGAGAAAATAAGCTCGGTATCTGTTAGACAGGATGCTGTGTGGCTCCAGTGCCAACCTGAACCTTTGTGTTCCGCGGCTTCGTCCTTTCAGAAAAAAGAACTCCCTGATATCCAGCTGGGTGAACTCCAAAGCAGGTACGGAAACGCTGGAGAAGTGAAAAAGACTTGATTCTGACGGGAATCAAACCCCGATCGTCTATCCTGTAGTCAGTGACTTTACTAAGCTATCACGGTTAATCATGGATCCGCTATGAATTGTTCTATCCACGCGCAGAAACAAGAAGTCGAATAAAAGGAGTGGAGATAAAACTTCACTACGAACTGAAGACAGAATGGTGATGTTCAGATTCACTCTCTTGCCGTTTTATGACTCGAGAAAAGTGCTCACGGTAAAGGATGGAGGCTACAGGGGCCGCAGCATGTGGCAAAGTGAACAATCCTCATCAGGAATTTAACCATGGTCGTCCAGTCCACAGTATCTTTTCTCACCCAACAGTCAGTGTCCGCTTTACTTAACATCGCGTATTTCAGAAGACAGCGCGCGGACATGAAAAAGCAAAACGTGGTTCAGACCTCGGCACGAAATAAATTAGCGTCACACTCCGACTGCTTTACCCCTCCGGCTACAGATCCGGTACCTATTACACAGGAAGCTGAGTGGGCCACACCCAGTGTGGATGTGCTGACAGGAAAAAAAAACTCTGCCGGAAATCAAACCCAGCAATTAAGCCAGTCGCTTTACGGACAGATCTTAATGTCGACGTGAAATATGATTAGTAAATACATATGAACGTCGAGAAGTGGAAAGGAATGAGGATCGTGGCCCGTGTCGGTATTCTGATATTAGTGTGGACAGACTGATTTAGAAAGAAAAAAGTCACGATGAGAAGTGTAAGTAACACTGTTAAAACTATGGGACCTATGTGGATGAATGAGATGAGGGTCTCAAGGCGGCAAAAATGTAGATGTTGGTCTTCTTCAATGCAATAACATGTGGACTTGTAGGCACATACCAACGTTTCGAAGTAAAATATTGCCTCCCGAAAAGCTGGTATCTACCTTCAAGTTACATAGCATTACAAGCCAGAAGACCAACATAAATATGTTTGAAAAAATTCAGCAAGGCAGATCAATATGAAATTTTGTTGGCTGTTTTCTCATTTAATTTTGGCACTTTAATTTAGGGTATAAATAAACTCTTGCATGGACATTTGTAATACTTTGGCAAAATCTGATACATCACTGTGTGTACAGAAACAGCATCTGGTCACTTCGATCCAGAAAAGCCTGTTTTCCAATGTTTTTACTTAAAAAATTAAAATGATACAACAAAAACTGTATATGTTCTCCAAATTACTGCTATATACCTAAAAGTCCACAAGGCATTACAACCCAGAAGACCAACATGGTATCTCTGATCGTTATGAAAACCTCAAATCTCATAGAGTACAAGTTGTTCATTGCTGTTATTACCATGTCACTGAACTGTCAAGGAACCATACAGATCCAGTTGCTGAAAATGTCCCATGAGGATCAACTTAAATTTCTTGTTCCAGTTAGTATACATTCCTTTAACAATTTTTGCTTTACAAAGTTCCATATACCTTATCTCTGTTGGTGATACTGCATTTAAAAAATAAATTCATAACTATTTAAAATATTAAAGCTTAAAATGGCATGGCATACACTATCTTAACACTTATTATTTTTATTAATGTAAAAGTATATACAATCTTCAAAGAAGTACAAGCTTAATGACACAAAGAATAAATTAACAAATGTAACTATTAAAAACAAACACCATATAAAAATAAAAAACACAAATTCAAACCTACACAAATTTAGTATACCTCAAAACAGTCCACGATCACTACCTTCCACATCCTTCCCAATTCATTATTCACAATCCTTCTCTAATTCAGGGGTCTGCAGTGGCCACGAGGTCTGAGGCGTGGGCCTCGTGCCGCTTGGTCGCTGGGACCGTGGGTTCGAGTCCCACTCAAGCCCCGGATGCTTGTCCGCGTTTTTCTGTGTTGTGCTGTCCTGTGTACAGGTAGAGGCCTTGCGACGGGACGATCCCTCGTCCAAGGAGTCCTACCGAATGTCTATAGATCGAGCCAACTAAAAGTTGGGACCCGCAGTGCTCAGGCACTTGAACGGGTCGTTCCCAGTATCCAGTATCTCTAATTCAAGGTTATATAACCTATGTAACTGAGGAAGTGCCATTAAATAAACTAAGAAACAAACCAACAAACAAATATGATTAGTATTCATATCCCAAATATCATGCTGAAATTTTCTCTTCATTGCCATGTGTCAGAGTGATATCTGTATCTCGTCCGAAGTTGTTAGGATGTAGCTAAATCCTGATGGCGTCTTTTGCTATGCAATCCATATAGTTTGCTATTGTCTAGAACACTTGTAAATAGAAATGGTGGTTAATAGTCTGACCGTGTAGATCACTCATGATACAGATCAACTTACATCTGCATAAAACAATCAGCATCACTGGTTTTGTCCTCAGTCAATGGGAAGAATGAGATCCCCATTGCATCTTAGTTTGAGGGTCATTACTGACGACTCATGTTCTGTCACCCATTAAATTTTTTTGGAAGTTTCCATCAGTTTCTGCACCTGCGGAAAGTCCGAAGTCACAGACTGGCAGCTTCCTTTCTGCTCGTATGTCGGCGGTTACGGAATGCTCTTGGTTGTGACGCTCCTCATTCCAATTTTTCACTTAAAATAGTCTGATACGAGCCACAAAAGTTCTTAGCTCTTTAGTAATTTCAACAATAGCAAGTCTTCTGTCACTTTGCACTAAATCATACACTTGAGATACAAATACATTTCTATTGATCGCTCATCACTTCTGATGGGAATCCGTTCCTCTTTAAAAAGATGAAACCTATCAAAAACTCATGATTAGTTCACTACTGCAGTTTATTATTTTTGTTTGCTGTCCATCTGATATCCTCACACAATTTAATACACATGTTGTTCTATCTCTCAGACATCATTAAAGCGACAACTGACAAAAATAGTCCAACTTTTCAAATGCTCACACAAATTACTGAATTAGTGCAATTAATCAGCTGTAACAGGTCAGGAATGTTCACTGCAGTCATGTTCTTGTGCAGCATGATTTTTCTGAGACATGAATTCACAATCAATACTTTTTGATTAGACCATCATAAGAACAAAGATTTTAGGTCAGTTTTAGGGGAAAGAAATGTCTTAAATTTACCAGAAACAAGCATAAGTAAAAAGCAACGAGCATAAAACTCAACCAAATACATATTTCCCATATTGTTTGTTCTATTAAAGAAGTATCACATGTCATCATAATTTTCAATAATCAGCTACTGGTACTTGCAATGGTTTGTAACTTACCTTCACACCTGTAGCATTATTGATATAGCACACTTGAAATGAATCTTCATCATACGCCTCACTCCATCCTGGAGGAACGGGAATATAAGTTGTTCCGCTACTTCCATTCACCTCTACTAGAGGGCTTGAGGTATCTGACCTGAGATTTTCTACACTGCCATCTTCTACAGTTTCCTGAAAAAAAGAATTACTAAGTGAAGATATACTTTCACACTTCACCAGGAATCCACAAATAAAAATTAAATCTACTATTAGCAACATAAAGTCCATTCACCCACAGTATTTACCGTCATAACTACGTAATTTATATTTGTGTTAGAAATAAGTAGTATTGTATTTGTGCTTTGATATGTTCTACATCCTTGGCTTAGGCCTATGAAGGATCTACGGTAAGTAAATAAATTAAATTAAATTAAATTCTATTCTACTCTATTCTAGTCCTGAACTACACTTCACACATTTTATACCCACTATCTGACTCCTACCTCACTTGTGATAAGTAGGTGACTACATTTCTAAAGCCCTGGACTTAATGACATACCCAAGAGGGACTTCAACAGCAATATTACATTTGGCCTAAGTTCAAGCAATGCTACTACATTCTCAATGGCTAACCTCACCATTTTGAATTCTACACGTAACCCCATAAGCATGTCCTCATTTTGAATCAATAAAAATCCATAAATTTAGACATAACGAAGATAGGATGTCCATGCTTGTACCAATTTAAGATCTTAAACATTGTCTTCATTCAGGATGCTACTCAAAACTTCTTGGGTCACCTTGGATTTCCTACCTTCACCTCTGACTTAATTCACAAGTGCTGGTAACACACAGCCAGTCCCCCCCCCCCAAAAAAAAACCTATGTGTATAGGAAATGAAACCTTTAAACATGAATGAAAATAAAAAATACACTTTTCAATATGTGTGTTACATACATGTTATCATTGATCACTTTGATATTACTACTATAAGCAATACATACATACAATACTTAACAAATGTGACAAAGTTAAAATATTTGGAAATGAAAACAAATCAAAATTGCAGTAATCAAGGAATTAATAGCAAATTAAATTTGGGAAATATTTACTGCCATTCAGTAAAGATTTTTTATCTTTCTATACATAATTTTAAAAGTAGATTCTTTAAAAAAGAATCTTAAGAGAAACTGCTACTATATTCATATTTTCAGAATAAATGTTGGAGTAAATATAGTTTCTCTACAAGCATTATTAGCTTGTCAGCTGTGTGTTCTACTAAACCAATTCCATGCTGATAGTAATGAAAAAAATCCATCTGCCTGATACTTGCGGAAACAAGTGTATTTGCAGCCACACTGGAGGAAACAAATATTAAGCTGGACCTTGCTAACTTGGCTGAGTTTATTTAGCATGCTTTTGTAGATGTGTAAAAGGCTACTGTAATTGGTTAGCAAACATGGCATGGTATTTCTTCTAATTAAAGCCTGGCAAACATCCTTGAACCTCTAAAATTCTCTTAATGAGACATACAATTGAAGTTCACAATTCATGGAGATTTGCAGTTCAGATCTAGACCAAGAAAGTGGCTATACTGACAAAATGTATATAAAATTCCCTATTACATCCAGACTACTGCTGAAAAAGTACCTGAATACTACATTCCAAATCGCTATCAACTTCTATCCATAATCATCCTACCAGGTATTTCTTGTCTAACCTGTATAATTTTACGCAGACAGGACACCACTAAATACTTGCAACTTTTACTTATGGGGCAGGCTAAAAGATGAAGTGTATGTGAATGATCCTCATTCACTGCAATAACTGAAGGCTCATTACTGTGTCAACAATTGCCTGCAACATTCGTCCACAACCTTTCCAAATACCATAGTAATGCTACTTCTGTAATTAGCATAAGAATTAACTCCCTGATCCATTATCTTTCTTGAAAAGTCAACAGTTATTCAACTGGTCGAGAAACTCCCCATTTCTTTTTACCTAAACAGTCATTAGTTCACAGAATCGTTCCTTTAAACATTATCCTGAATTTAATCCAATTACTATATTGACCATTACCAAAGACACATTTTAGTATTATCCTCCCATTTCACCTCGGTCTACCAAGAGGTTTCCTCACTTGTGACTTTCCAACTGAAATTTAGTCATAAATCTCACTTCTCCCATGTATGCATATCCTGCCCATTATATCCACAGCAATGAAACACTTACATGGAATTTGTGGTGCCTGCGAGGTGGCTTCCAACTTTTATCATGGGTCCTACGATTGTAATAGTAAGTCCTTCCCTGAGAAGACTGATATTCCACCCATCCCTCATTCAAAACTCTAACTGGTTTATGATCAGGTGATGGAGATGGTGGCAAAATATATCCATGCACTCCATGGGAGTCCACCTGCCAGAAAAGAGCAGAAGTCTCAATATACATTGTCTGTTAGTGGTAGATTTCTTATAATTTTCACATTAAAAATATAAGGATTGTTTGTGTTCAGGGAATAT